GCGTTTCCATTGCAGGGGCTGCAGGTTCAATGCCTGGTCAGGGAACTAAGATTTTTATCTCACAAGCTGCATGGTGCAGTCAAAAAGTTAACAGGAAAAGAAAAGAAAAAGTCTGATAATACCAAGTGCTAATTGTCTATAAAATCAGGAAAGTGAGACTACCAAACATGAAAACGTAAATTGGCCCCATGGTTCAGATGGTAAAGAATCTACCTGTAATGCAGGAGACCCAGGTTCGATCCCTGGGTCAGAAAGATTCCCCTGAAGATGGGAATGGCAACCCACTCCAGTATTTTTACCTGGGAAATTTCACGGACTGTGGAGCCTGGTGGGCTACAGTCCATGGGGTCACAAAGAGTCGGACATGACTGAATGACTAAGTACACCACAGCACACTGATACACCTTGATGAAGCTTTTGCCATAAGCACCAAGAGACAAGTAGCCTCCTGGCAGCATGCTTCTTTGTAGCAAAAACTTAGAAATATTCTAAATGTCCATTATTGCAGGAATAGGTACAAATCATATGATGAAATGCTATACAGCTGTTAAGATGAATAAACTAGATCCTTATAACAGCATGAATCAATCTTCAAAACATAACAAAGTAAAAATTCTAAAACACATAAAGCAACACTACATTTTGTCTATGAATAAAAACATAGAGGAGAGGAAATTTTAAAATCATGGACACACACCAAAATCATGACTGAGATTGTTTCTGGGGAAAGAGGTAAATGAGACTAAGGAAGAGAAAAAAAACAATAACCTTAGGCATATTATGGTTTTTATTTTAAAATAAAAGAAGCAAAGATGAAAAATCATAAATATTTACTGAGAGGTGAATTACAAGCTTACTGTACTATATATTGTTTTATATAGTGTAGCTTTTGTAATATACTCAGAATATATAGACTCTGATGCTTGTTATACTATTCTTTGCATTTTTTTTAATTTATGAAATAATCGATTCTTTCTCTTCCTATCTACCCACCCCCACCCAAAGTTTCAATTACGCAAACAGGAAAGTCACACAAACAGGAAGAGCCCAGAGGATACACCCACAGCAGCAGAAACCGCAAAGCTAGTTGAAGGCACTCGGAGAGCCTGGTTTAAACAGTTAAACAGAAACCATGCTTCCAAACACATGTCTTGAACCTGAATTAATGAATGATCACCCTTCCTAGAGCTACTTGAGAATGCCGGTAGCTGAGTTAAGTCCTACAGGGGACTCCCCTGGTGGTCCAATGGCTAAGACGCTGTGCTCCCAGTACAGGGGGCCTGGGTTTGATCCTTGGTCAGGGAGCTAAGATCCCAAAAGCCGCAACTAAGACCCACTGCAGTCAAAGTAAATAAATAAATGTTTTTTAAAAAAGAAGATGTTCTGTGGATCTGGGTTCAACACTAACTTTGTCAGCTAGCTGCTATGTGACCTTTGGTAAAATTCTAAACAGTCTAGGCCTGAGTTTCCTTACATTAAACTGAAACTGAAACTTAAGTCACTCAGTCGCGTCTGACTCTGCGACCCCGTGGCCCGCAGCCCTGCAGGCTCCTCTGCCATGTGATTCTCCAGGCAAAGATACTGGAATGGGTTGACATTTTCTTCTCCAGGGGATCTTCCAGGGACCAGGGATCAAACCTGGGCCTCCTGCATTGCAGGCAGATTTTTACCATTTGAGCCACCAGGGAAGTTCCTAACATTTAGATGGAGTTCACAACACCTACCTCAAGAGTCAAGACAGAGACTGACTTGGATACCATCTCTGAAGTGCTTATCATAGTGCTTGGTACAGTTATTTGTTCAACACATGGTGGTTATTACTTGTGTCAGAACTGAGATTAGAACTCCACGTGTGGGTGTCTGTTTCAGCAAAGCAAAAAGAAATATCCACAACAAAGGACCTAAACTATTTTCCAACGATGAAGCAAGCCCTGTCATCAACTAAAATGTCTAACTAAAACCAATTTAAAAGAAAAGACTAGAACTGCAGAATTTATAGGAGAAATCCAATCTATAAATAATAGTAATACAGAGGAAAATTTATAAGTCCAGCAAAAGGCAAAAAGTCCTCATACAAAAAGAGAACAGTTACTGAACTGAATGGTAATCTCAACATGGGCATCAATTGGTCAACAGAGTCCATCACCCTGTAATCCACAAAGAAAGCCCTTAGACTCCCTTGTGTCAAACCCATCTTTTAGAAGATGAGGTTTTATAAGTTGCTAAGAAAAGGAGAATATTTTAAAACATACTTGGGGGGAATAATATATTTTCTAGGCTTTGAGGCAAAAGAAAAAGAATTCTCCCAATGGTCCTTATTATGAGGACATGATTTACATTAATGGATTAAAATTTTTTAATCCTCAAACTCAAAAATTATATAAAAACAATTTTAAAATATGACTAGACCAATACATTTAAGAAATAAGACTTTATCACTCAACTAAAAAAAGAAAAAAGACTTTCATTAATTCTCCAGAAAATCCACCCAAACTTGCATAAACTAAATTATTCCTACAGATCATATTATTTATATAGAACATACTATTCCCCCTTTAAAATATAGAAAAGTGCAGGTCAACTAACCAACTTATGAACTTAAAACAGTTTTGATGTTTCAAACAACAAAGAATAATAATTATAAAGCAACAAACTAAAGTTTCTAAATGTACTGTGTGTAATAAAACTAAGTTTCAAATATATTAGATATATTGCAACATTAAAATGATTATGGATTATGTCTGCACAGGTTTTATTTCCTGTAAATGCAAGTCTGAATATATGGCAGTCAGAGAAATTTGAAAACCAACTGGATATTTTATGATATTAAAATTATAATTGTATAAAAAGTGATCACTACACTGCAGTTATATTAATAGAGTCCTTCATCTTTGGAGATACTAGTGGAGATACTAGAGTATTTACAAAGCAACTAAACTCTGGCATTTGGCTTAAAATAACACGTTGGTGTTGGGAATAGGGATGGGAAGGGGAGAATAAATGAGCCAAGACTGGCCTTACTTTGAAAACTGTTGAAACTATGGGTACATAGGGGTTCATCATTTTCTCTTCTCTACTTTAGTGTATGTTGAAAATACTCATAGTAAAAAAAATTGTAAAGACAAGAAGCCTATGTATTTAAAACTAAAAGCCAGCACTAACTGGTGAAGAATTTTTCACAACAAAACAGAAAAGACCACAAAGCCTTTCATCCCTGTTGTTATTTGGTAGAGCACTAGAATGTTCCTTCCTTTTTTTTTTTTTTGGTCTTAATCTCTACCCTCTTTTCCCCCTTCCTGGTTTCATCTGTTGCTGACTTAGATGACTTCTTCCAAACTCATACCTTCCTAAAACTCAGAAACAGACTTTCAAATTGTTGCCTCGCAACATAATAAATATTTCTTTTTAAAAACAATGGAGTGTATTTTGAATATTCTGCTCAACGAATTAAAAAAAAATCATCTAATCTCATCCATTTACAACCTCTGTCTTGTATGTTTTATCACACAAATATTGGGAGTGAGAAATCTAAAGTTCTTGGTGAATATGTGCGGGCTGAAAAGTTTGAAGACCACCATTTTGGACACTAAGACACCACTAAAAGCTTTTAAGGAGGCAGGAAGTGTGACAAGGGCTACATCAAGAAAAACAATTCAGCGGAAGTACATACAGATAGGAAAGATGGGGAGAAATAATGTGGTCAGAGACAATCATTCACTAATTCAACAAGACATTCATTTAGAAGTGAGATTGAAAAGTATGAAATAGATAGGGGAGGCTTAGGAGTGCTCAATGAAAGGACTTACTGATTAATGGTTAAGGTAAGGTGAAGGAGGAAGAAGAGGTTGAGGGGAGTGTCAGAAACCCTGCCCTGGGGGAAAGAAAATGGGTTTGACTCAAATTGGCAGGATATTTAGAAGCAGATACTTCTCAGACACCTGGAGATGAAGAACCTAGAGTCTACTAAAGGCCTGGGGAAGTACACAAGGGAGCCATCTTTGTAGATGTGACAACGGAACCCAATGGAGTCAGGGCTTTCGGGGAGAGAGATGGAAGACAGGTCCATCAAAAGGGTTAACCCAAACGTTGGGGCACACTATATTCAGGAGACAAAACAAGTGAAAACACAGAAGCAGCTGCCAGGGAGATACTGCAGCACTGTCTCAGAGTGGTCCCAAGAGTGGTTTGGTCAAAGGGTGGTTGGCCAAAAGTGCAGGCCACCGTGGTGACCACGAGGAAGGATCTCTGAGCGGACCCATCTTTGGTAACCTTGAATAGGACCATTCTGGTCCGGTGGAGCGGTCTAGACTCAGATATCAGAAAAGGGATAATGAGAGAGGGGAGAGAGGCGGCTAGGAATGGAGGGCCAAGCAGAGCCCCTCAGGCGCCGAGATGGAGACAGATCCCGAGGGTCAGGCGCGCCTGGGGGTCTGGGAAGACCACACAAAAACCCCTAGCGGGTAAGGTAGCCGAGAGGGAGAGACTCTAGTTTCCAGAGAGTGGAGGCATTCTCGGTTGTTCCCAAACCTGCCTCCAAACCCTCTAGAAACTGGCATGCCCCAAAGAACTTTATTCTCGAGAGAAAAGCGAAAGTGTTAGCTGCTCAGTCGTGTCCGACTCTTTGCGACTCCGTGGACTGTAGCCCCCCCAGGGTCCTCTGGCAGGAGTACTGGAGGGGGTTGCCATGCCCTCCTCCAGGGGATCTTCCCGACCCAGGGATCAAACCCGGGTTATCCGCATTGCAGACAGACCCTTATGGAAGTGGGAAGTTCATCGTTAGTCTTCACCGGGGCAATAGCGCCCTAGCCATATTGGAGGAAAGGTCCGACGGCGCTGGAAGGGAGGAAACCTCCAAGAGAAGAAGCGCGGGCTCCGCGAGAAGCTAGGCGGAGGCATAGGGCGCGCGGTCCCAGCGAGGGCGCGCCCCTCCCAGAGCAGCAGCCGCGGTCCTCCCAGAGCCGGGACCCGGGGGAGCCGCCCCTCCCGCTCAGGGCACTCACCGCTCCGACTGCGAATAGTGGCACCGGCCCAGCAGGTTGAGCTTGCAGAGATGCAGGTTCCCGCAGGGTTTGTTGCAGTACTTGCGACGGCAGACCCGGGCTCGAGTGGTGGCCACCACGGACCGGGTGACCCCTTCCTTGCCGCCCATCTCCAACACCACGAAGCGGTCGGGCCCGGCCTCCTCCAGCACCTCGCAGAGCTGCGCCTCGGAGAGCTGCATCTCGCGGAGCAGCGCTTCCAGGGCCATGCGCCCCCCGTGGGCGCACAGGATCTTGGTGATGAAGCTGCACACCCCGGGGTCCGCCATGGCGCGCTGCACCGGCCTGACCTCCGCGCGGGACTCGGCTGCTGGGAGAATCGAAACTTACTAGAGTCCCCGGGGCGGGGGGCGGGCGCCGCGCGGGCTGGGCGCGCCCGGGGACAGCGAGCGAGCGTGCGCTGTCCGCCGCCCGTTAGCCGAGCCGGGCGGTTTCGGTTTCCGAAAAGCTCGGGTCGAGAGGCCAGATCTCACCGACCCCGGTCCCTGCGTCAGAGCCAAAGGCGATCGCGACGGCCACCTCGTGCAAAGGGAGCGAACAAGTGAGAGCTTGTCTGCAGGCGACCGTGGAGACCACCGGACGGCTGCCCCCTCGTCTCCAGTCTCCTGGAGGCTCAGATTCCCCAGCTGGGCGCCGAGAGGCTTCTTCGGAAAGAGAAACTAAAAGAGGGGGAAAAAAATAACCTCTGGGCTCTGGCAGAGCTTTTATAAGACAGACGAAGCGGCGAATGACGCGAGTCTTGGGAGCCCTCTTGAGGAGCCCGCTGTTCTCTACCCCACCCATCCCCGGAAAGAACGGACCCAAGAGAGCGCCTGCTCTGAGCCCCGCGCCCTGCCTCCGGTATTAGTTGTTTGTTGTTCAGTTGCTCAGTCCGATTCTTTGTGACCACATGGGCTGCAGCCGGCCAGGCTTCCCTGTCCTTCACCATTTCCTGGAGTTTGCCCAAACTCATGTCCATCGAGTCGGTGATGCCATCCAACCATCTCGTCCTCTGTCTCCTCTTTGTCCTCCTGCCTTCAATCTTTCCCAGCATGAGGGTCTTTTCCAGTGAGTCAGCTCTTCGCATCAAGTGGCCAGAATATTAGAGCTTTAGCTTCAGCATCAGTGAATCTTCACAGCTCCACGAATTAGATGGTATTATCCTCACTCTCCTTCAGGAAGTAATCTGAGCAAACAGCCGACAAGCTGGAGCCGGAATACCACCCAAGGTTTCCCAAATCTGCCCCCAGACTCCAGATTGAGGTCTGCCTGGCCGGGACCGCTGGGTAGTGTCACTGTCAGCACCGGACCTTCTCCAAGAACAATCATTATTGCTCTTCAGCTTTTTCACCTTCTTTTGAGCTCTTTGAAGAACCACTTCTTGAGGCATTCTTGCCTGTCTAGGTTAATAGAGGTGCCCCAGACACGGCTTAATCTCAGATAGCAATTAGTCACAGCCTGGCATGCTTAGACAGATCCCAGGACTTCAGCTAGATTTCCTCTCTTTGAATATTTGGACACAATCTTTTCCGCTTCAGTGGGGACTCCCTTAAGCCCCCAGAGTTGGTATAAAAGAAAAAAGTGAAAGTGAAAGTTGCTCAGTATGTCTGACTCTTGGGGACCCCATGGACTGTAGCCCACCAGGCTCCTCTGTCCATGGAATTCTCCAGGCCAGAATACTGGAGTGGGTAGCTGTTCCCTTCTCCAAGAGATCCTCCCAACCCAGGGATCGAACCCAGGTCTCCCACATTTGCAGGCAGAGTCTTTACCATCTGAACCACCATATAAAGATTAAAGTGGAAACATTTGAGCTACAGAGGATGCAGAAAGAAATTTATCTGAATTTCTTTTAATATGAGTAAAGCAAAGGCCTCCAGAAAATGCAGCTACCTGTCACCCCCTTCCAACGGAGTTTCCTGCTAACTCAATTGCCCTGGAGACAGAATATCCATTGCAGTTAACATCAAAAAGCCAGATAGAACCTTCCCTACCCCTCTACTGAAGTCCTAAAAAAGAAACCCTTTTGCTAATTGAGATATATAAAGTGATTTCAGGCAATTCCAGGAGGTTTCCATTATTGGAAGCTTCCCCTCACCAATGCTAAATAAATCTTGTTCTCTTTTTATTTTTTTTCCTTTCTCTTTTTATTTTTATTTATTTTTTTCCTTTCTCTTTTTATTTTTATTTATTTTTTTCCTTTCTCTTTTTAATCTGTCTACTGCCAGTTAATTTGCAAGACCCAATGACTGGATTCAAATTGGAATAGGAAAAAGGTTTTCCTCCCAATACTCCTGAGTGGAACGTCATTGCTCAGACAAGTCATAAAGCTTTTTTTTAATGACAGAGCTCAGTAGTCAAACTAAAAATTCTTGAAAATGATGAATGGGCATTCTCAGGTTGGTAATTCATGACTGATCAACAGTGTCTTAGAAATACAGTACTTTGGTATGAAAACCAGCAAAATCTGGGTTCCTTTTAGCTGTTACTATATAGTTGCCTTTGATTCACTTGGCCTGATTTATGGTCTGACAGGTTCCCACAGACTGGGTTTTCTTTTTTCAAGTTTATATTGGAGTATAGTTGGTTTACAATGTTATACTAGTTTCAGGTGTACACCGAAGTGAATCAGTTATACATATATCCACTCTTTTTTAGATTCTTTTCCATATAGGCCATTATAGAGTATTAAGTAGAGTTACCTATGCTATACAGTAGGTCTTTATGATGCTTTTGAACTGTGGTGTTGGAGAAGACTCTTGAGAGTCCCTTGGACTGCAAGGAGATCCAACCAGTCCGTCCTAAAGGAGATCAGTCCTGGGTGTTCACTGGAAGGACTGATACTGAAGCTGAAACTCCAATACTTTGGCCACCTAATGCGAAGAGCTGACTCATTTGAAAAGACCCTGATGCTGGGAGGGATTGAGGGCAGGAGGAGAAGGGATGACAGAGGATGAGATGGCTGGATGGCATCACTGACTCGATGGGCATGAGTTTGAATAAACTCCGGGAGTTGGTGATGGACAGGGAGGCCTGGCATGCTGCGATTCATGGGGTCGCAAAGAGTTGGACACGACTGAGCGACTGAGCTGAACTGAACTGATGTTATATACAGTAGTGTGTATATGTCAATTCCAATCCTCCAATTTATTCCTCCCCACTTTACCCCCTGATAACTATAAGTTTGTTTTCTACATCAGTAACTCTATTTCTGTTTTGTAGATAAGTTCATTTGTACCTTTTTTTTAATGATTCCACATTTATATATGTATATATATATATATATTTATATATATTATATACATTTATATATGATTATTCATATGGACTGGGCTTTCGATATGAAATCAGATAAATTCACCACAATATCTTCCCTGTGGCTCTTACTTTACCTAGTCACTCTGAATGTTTCAAAGAAGAATCAATTCTGACTCCATGTTGGAACTGATTCTTCAATTTGCTTTTCATTGCTGTTGTGATTATAATCATACATAATGGCCTGCCTCAATGGACCCTGCCCCTGTGCCTGACTGTTAAACTAAAATGTCTTTGTTCAGCTGATAGATAATCCGACCCTGCCCAACTGTGAAAAGGAGATTAACACATCCCTTCCAAAGGCTGGCCAGTCCCATTCCTGGAGATGTTTTCCGAGACTGATGGTCTTTTTTATTTTACTTCCTCACCACCTCTCCTCTGTTCTGCCTCCTGACTTCAGTTCCTCAATGCTTCTCTCTATAGTTCTATAAAAGAACTTGGCATCAAGACCCCAAGAAGAAGATTATTTTGAGACATTAGTCTACCATCTTCTCAGATGGCTTTCAGAATACAGTCATATTCCTTGCCTCAACACCTATCTTTTAGATTCATTGGCCTGTCATGCGAGGAGCAGAGTGAGCTTGGACTCAGTAACATGAACATATAGAACTTTAAAAAAATCATTGCTGTAGTCAAGGACCTTATGTTTGGGAAGAGATGAACAAACATTAAAACAAAAGGGAATCCATGGTTAAATGCTGAGACAGGTATATAGGAGATTGGAGAAGAATAGAGTTTGGTGAGAGTGGTTGGGAGTAGAGATATAAAATTCCCCTCAGTTTGAGGATCTGAGAGACAAATGTAAGGGGCTGTGGAGAGGAAAAAAGCAGAGATTTAGAAAATTTGTGTTGTCACAGATTGGGTTCTCCAGGAAGCAGACACTGTTACGGAGTTAAGAATACAGAAGATTGCTGGGAGGGTAACACCAAAGAAAGTCAAGGGAAGAAGCCAAGATTGGTCTGTGGGAGCCATCAGGCTTCATTGTAGACATCACCAAGTCTCTGCCAGTCCAACTTGAGCAGGAGACTAGGCTCAGCAGGTAGCCTAGGCCCTCATACCACTGTCCCAGGCGGCCGTTGGCAGGGGCCACTGGAGAAGTGCGTGACTTCAGCTCAGCCCCTGAGGTGAAGCCTGAAAGAGTGGAAGCTGGGTGCTCTCAGCTAAACACACTCCTTGGAGCCAGGGAGCAAGTCCTGGCTTGAAGGGACATCTGAGTGATGCCATGTCCACCCTTTGTGACGTGTGGATCTTGTTTCTCCACCTGTAGTCAGGGAACAGCTTCTTCAGGGCTCACTGGGCCACTCTTCCTGAAAAGAAACTTAGAAGAGGGCAGTTAATGAAGGGCTTCCCTGGTGGGTCAGATGGTAAAGAATCTGCCTGCAGTGCAGGAGACCTGGGTTGGATCCCTGAGTTGGGACGATCCCCTGGAAAAGGGCTTGGGCCCACTCCAGCGTTCTTGCCTGGAGAAATCAATGGACGGAGGAGCCTGGTGGGCTCCAAGTCCACAGGGAGGCAAAGAGTCAGACAGGACTGAAGTGACTGAGTACACACAATAGCTTCTGCCACTGCAGCTGGTTGTAGAAACCACCACTGGCCCTCATCATGTCCCTCCACCACATCCATTTCTTTTTCTTTTTACTTATTTTATTGAATGTAGTTGATTTATAATGTGCTAGTTTTAGGTGTACAGCAAAGTGATTTGGCTATAAATATGTATATATCTATATTCTTTCTTGATTCTGTTATTATTACAAGATATAAAATATAGTTTCCTGTGCTGTGCAGTAAATCCTTGTTGTTTATTTTACATATAGTAGTGTACATCTATTAATCTCATACTCTCCATTTATCCCTCCCTCCCTTCCCCATGGGTAACCATAAGTTTATTTTCTATGTCTGTGAATATGTTTCTGTTTTGTAAGTAAGATCATTTATACTTTTTTTTAGATTCCACATGTAAGTGATATTACATCATATTTGTCTTT